ATTTCAGCTAGTTTCACTGAAAACAAAACAAAATACTTTTTTTTTCTTTTTTTGTGCACTGGCTTGATCATTTGATGTCGTTAAAAATCTGGCACAATCTGAGCAGTGGTGACATGTGCCTTTAATCCCAGCACCTGAGAGATAGAGGCAGGTGGATCTCAGTTAGTTTGAGGCCAACCTAGTCTATAGAATGAGTTCCAGGACAGCCAGGGACTGTGGCACAGAGAAAAACAAAAGACCTGTCTCAAAAAACCAAAAACCAAACCAAAGCAAACCAAACCAAACAAACAAAATCTGGCACAAGAGGATGGATACTAGGATAATCTCTCCTTTTGGAATTTTTTAACTTAAAATTTTTCAAAGAAGAAGACATCTTTGTGGTTTTGTAAGTATTAGGTCAGTATCAAATACTCATATTTCTTTGATATGTTTATAACACTGAACAGCTACTAAATCTTAAGAAATAAAATTAAAAGATAAAAACCAAGAGGGAAAAGCTTTGATATTTAAATATATAATTTATTGTATACTTTGTATAACACACACATTCATACACACACACACACACACACACACACACACACACACAGTAACTGAAGCCTGGATGACCCTTTCTATATTCCTATGATTGATCTGTACAGGTTTTTGATTGTGACAGTCTATTTTTTTCAGATTGATGGATGACATTTGCATATCTACCACATTTATTGAGGGCAAGTCAGTCTGCTTATTATTACATTATCAGAGGCTAGTGGTATGGAGTAAATATGTAAGGAATGAGTAAATAAGAAACGAATACAGCCAGCATATAAGATATTTATCTTTTCAAATACTATAATTGACTCCTTTCATCCTCAAATAATTCTTTCAAAGAAATTTTACAATTAATCCCATTTTTAATAATGAAGAAAGAGAAACACTGAGAAATTAAGTAACTTGCCTAAGATTATATATACATCTAGTAGCTGACAGGTGCAAAATGCAGAGTCTTCTGGTCAGAGGCCCACGTTTGGAAGATTGCTTTCTCTCAGAAACAAATACACTGGGGCTGTACTTGCTGTTCTTCCAGAGGATCTGGGTTTGACTCCTAGCACCCACATGGCAGCTCATTCCTGTTCCAGGAGACTCTTCTTTGTCTTCTGACCTCATGGGCACCATGTCGTACACAGACATATAATCAGACAAAACACCCATACACAAAATAAAATAATAAAACCAGAAATGAGTGCACTGTGTAATAAATCTGTGTGTCACTAAATGCATGTAAGGAAATTTCATGTAAATTTTAGTTTCTTTTGTTTTACATGTCTGGGTATGGAAAATGGGGTTTGTACAGGCAGAAAAGTGATCATCCAGCCCAAGGCATTGGTCCCAAGTATCACAGAACTCAGGCACCTGTACTGCTATTACCGAGTTCTCTGGAACTCAGAGGCAGTGAGAGGTGGAAAGCTTAATTTCCCAGCCTAAGCTTTCGGTGGTAGCAAAATTCCTCAGTATCCAAAGGAGTCGTAAAGACTCAGAGGTAGAGCACCAAAAGACGTGACTCCGCTCAGCTCGAATCACAGCTGGAGTCCTTGATCCAGAAGAAAAACCTTCCACACCCCTCATGCTAATACAGAAGCAAGGTTTAAGGTTTTGTTTGACTGTCCTAAAACTTACTCTGTAGATCAGAGTGGTTTTGAACTCACAGAGATTGGCCTGCCTCTGCCGTTAGACTTATGCCACCACTGCCTGCCTAAGGAAAGGGCCTTCTTAAGACCAGCTCCCCCCCCCCCACACTTTTTTTTGTTTTGAGAAAAACAACAACATAATGCTCTACTTTCTGTTAGTCTTGCTTTAAGATATCACTGTTCTTTCTGATAGATGATGTATGTGTGTGTGTCTTTATTACTTCTTGTTTTGTTTTTAAATTTTCTTTATGTTATTTAGTTTTGCTCATTCTAGAGCCAATTCTCTATAAGACAATACAGTCTATACTTTAAAAAAATTGAATGAATGAATGCATTAAATGTTAATTATTTTGGGGGTGCTAGTAGTTGAACCTAGGGTCTTGTGAACACTAGACGAGTATCTATCACTGAGCTACATCCCCATGCCTACGTTATGTTTGGCTTTGAGTACCTGTACATGATGAAGATCTTTGGTGACAGATGACCCAAAGCTGATGAAAACAGAGTTTCACAAGTTTGCTAACTTGTGAAAAGAATACAAAGAAGCCTAACAGGAGTCTCCGGGTCATGCAGGACAGATTGAGATTGAGAAGGAGAGGGCTGTTTTCAAAGAAGAATTGGTGTTCTTCCTGCCCTTCTTAGAGTCTGTTCATTTCATGTGTCTCCCCTGTTCCAGCTACCAGCCTCCGAGGGACATAGTGCTTCTCAGGACTCAAAGGAATGAACTCTTATGGCTGACAGGCTCCACATTTGGAAAAAGCTTGTTAATAACGCAGTCACCTTTCAACTGGAAGAACACTGTCACCCTGGAGGCAACTCCACAGAAAGCCTGTCACTTCAGGTTGATCCAAGTTTCAGAGAACTTGTTTTGAGGAATGGGGTTAAAAGTTTAGTTTCACTGTGGAAGGAAAGCATGCCCAATTGACTATGAGGGTGAAGTGCGGTGAATGAAGAGAACGCAGCCAAGAGGCTCAGAAAGATAAAACAGAGAATAAGATCTATAACTCTGTAGTGTAGTAAAGGGAATCTGTGGGAGAGTCAGCCAAAGGAAAGGGGGCAGCAAGCACGCATATGAAATCAGACACCACTCTTATGTTCAAACAATGCTGGTGTCAAGAGAGTTGCAGAACAGGTATGATGATAGCATTTGAATGAACAAAGAATGGGAAGGGAAGGGATGCAGCAGGGCAGGAAAGGGGGTCGGTGGGGATTCAAGAACAGTCTTGTTAGTCAGAGAGGGTCCTCTTCCTGTTCTACAAATTCTTTTGTTCTGGGTCCTTATCAATCCCACACCTTGTCTAAATGAGAATGATAGACAAGCCGTTCTTAATGACTTCCTAGTTTCTGAAACTATTTTGGTGTCAGAGAAAGAGCCATGTTTAAGCTGTTGTGGGAACTGTTTCTGCTGGTATGGTGACGTTTCCACTCTGAAGTGATTATCTTTATTTGTGAGAAAAAAAAATTTGTCCCTATATATGACTTGTGAAGTGTTATAGAGAAATGATGTCCTTGCAGCTCTTCAGGACAGGGGAACAACTGGCAGAGGAGGTCCTTGCTGTGTCAGCAGGAGCAAGGCTAGTATCTTTCTCCCCCAGGGACAGGCACATCCTCTCCTAGGCACACCCACTCACCATTAGCTAAGAACAATCATTCTCTGTGTCAAGGCCTGGCCACACCCTGTGGGGGACAATGCAGGACTGCACAGCACTACCTGTCCTAAGCCAATGTTCACTTCCTTTGTACAGATTTCTTTCTGTGTGGAAGAGGCACATACCGAACATAGTTCTTTTGAGGGGGGCCAGCATAAAACAACACATTTTAAAGAGTGGCCAATGACAATACACTTCACTTTCAAACTGTCTTCACTGGCTTTTCCCAGTCTCTGAAATTTGTATGACACACAACCCAGAGAAAAAGGGTTCTAAAGGTGCCATTCCACAACCACTCACTATACACATCCCGACCCTCTCTCTGAAGATAGTGCTTTCCGTCACCTTTAGAAATTCATTTTAGACACATTTGGTTTTATTATCATAATAAATATGGATATATTAAAGCAGTGATATCATTATACATTCAAATAAACTTAGAACAAAAGACGTTTTGTATTAACAGTAACAGTATATACTATTGACACTAACAATCTACTTCCCTTTTTAAACAATTATTGTGTATATGTGTGTGCAACACATGACTGTGGAAGTCAGAGGACAACTTTCAGGAGTTGTTTCTTTCCTTCAATCATGTGGGTTCTGAGGAGCAAATTCAGGTCATTAGCCTTGGCAGCAAGCACCTTTAGCCACTGGGTCATTTTCCAGTCCCCTAAATTATTTCCTAGTAGGGGATCTTCTCTATTTAAAAGTATATCTGCCTGTCTGCTGGTCAGTAAGTATAAACAACTATCTTGCTAGACTTTTGTCCTCTTTTCCCCTCCAAAGTCTCAATTCTCAAAGAATTTAGAATCTGGCAAAGGAAGGAAAACATGAAAACAAATGATTATAACAGGTCCTAAAGCAATGTCTCTCAAGCAGTGGGTTGTGACCCCCTTGGAGGTCGAATGATACTTTCATAGGGGTGGTCTAAGACCATTGAAAAATACCAATATTTACATTATGATTCATAACAGTATCAAAATTACAGTTATGGAGTAGCAATAAAAATAATTTTGTGGTTAGGGGGTGGTCAACACAATATGAAGAACTGTCTTAAAGGGTTTCAGCATTAGGAAAGAAACCACTATCCTAGAGTGTACAGGTAATTACAGAGACAAAAGAGAAATGTTAGTGGTAGTAAAATATTTATTAGAAAGGATCCATGAATAGGATGGTATTTGAGCAGAGATTTATGGTGTGGGGGTGGTCTTTCAGAAATGTGCATATGACTTTGTACCAGATACATAAGCATGTTAGTGATTTGTGTGAGTGTGCACACATGGCTAGTAAGACAGGTGGCAGGTAAAAATGGCCTTGGTCCCTAGAAACCCTGCAGATCTAGGGTTTGTTAAAGTAGACATCTTGTGGGTATCAGAGATCATTTCTCAGACCAGACCAATGAGATAAGATAGTGCAAATTATGATCTCCATTTCTGGAATCAACTATTTTCTTGGGTGTGTTTTAATCTTGTTTTCGTTTACAGAGCAATGGATTTTTGTGGTGAGAATGGTATCTCAAACTTAATTCTCCTTGTTCTCATTTGGGAAGTGCCCTATGGAGTATGCCAGAGAGGCGTGTTACAGAGCTTTGAAGGTTGGCAGCAGGCATTCTATGAGGGCATTTTCCCAGCCAGCTGGCCAAGTGTGGTCACATACTGGGTGGTGAGGGAGTCCTTACCACTTCGGTTGGTCGGTAGTACTTCAGATCCACAGTCACATGGACTTGGCCGGTCTCCTTACATCTGCCCACTTCATTTTCATTCTTTCCTTCCCACCTGCAAAGAAGACAAACAATCAGTTCCTAATTGCTTGGTAACATGTGGCCACACTGTGGTGCTCAGGATGGCTAGCCTGTCTTCTCCCTGCAGGAGGGCATAAGTACATTAACAGCAGGGGCAGGCCCACCCTCAACCTTGTTATTAGAGCAAATTGTGGCTTTTAAAAATTTGTGCATTTGTTTGAAAGAAAGTTTCACCACCCCCTTCTTCCTTTTAAAGAAAAACCAAGATGAATTTAAAACTGAGACTTTAGACATAAAGTACACCCTATTTGTTGAGAAGTTTCATACCTTGCTGGCCATAGTGTTTATTCCCGCATTATGTGAATGTGAAGGAGACCTCATCACCTCACCACAGAAGAGGAAGCCTCTCCAAAGTATACAACTAGTTGTTCATTTCTTGTCCTCTAGCTGGGATGTTCCTGGGCTTGCAACACTAAACATTTGAGTTTGACAACAGGAAGGACAGACCATTACCCTCCAGGTGTACACTGTGAGGATACATAAGCTCCTTGGCTCCAAGAGCAGCTTCTCATAGGAAGCTCTACTTACCTGCTTTATGTTCTCATTTTTCATAAATGGAGCAAATAGAGTTGGGCCTGGTGGTGCACATCTGTAATTCCTGCTATTTGGAAGGCAGGGTCCTGAATTGGGAGATCTTAAATTCAAGGGTAATGTTTTAACCTCCCCAGAGAAGAGAAAAAAAGGAAGAGAAAAATCTTTGATTTACTGCTGACCTTGGGATATCTATAATCTAATGTCTAATAAAAGAATACACCATATAGTTTAAGTTAATTTTACATATTTTTTGGCAAGGAAAGAAAAGAAATGAAAAAAATCTGAGTAGCTTGACTTCAGTGTTTATGCTTAGAATGAGTTTGCTTTATCAGCTGAGATGAACACAGGACAATTTTGTGTGCTCCCCAGATCACTCATAAGAGGACCAAAGGGAAAAACAGAACATTCAGTGGTTACTTGGCTATGTCACAGATGCCTCTGAAAATGAACATTAAATACCAAAGAAGGTTATATTTTAAGACAGGATGAGTACAGACTGGGCTCACAAACTTTTTAAATTATTGATGTGAATATTTTGTCATCACCTCTTGACAGCAGAGAGGAACTATTTGTCTATTAAAGGAATATTTAGCTTGCTGGTTTGTTGAATTTCCCAGGGAACTCAAGGCAGATATAAAAACCATTTCATGACACAGAGAATAATAGCATACTGTAATGAACTTTTTATATTATATAAGCAGCCACTTCCCATAAATTCTCTTAATCAAACAAACAGAAGCATGGTAATCTACTTATTAGGCTTAACTTCTTTTTTTTTTTTGATTTTTTTTTTCAAGACAGGATTTCTCTGTGTAACAGCCCTAGCTGTCCTGGAACTGAGCTCTTGTAGACCAGGCTGGCCTCAAACTCATAGAGATCTGCCTGCCTCTGCCCCTCGAGTGCTGGGATTAAAGGTATGCACTACCATCGCCCGGCTAGGCTTAACTTCTTAATGTTGGGCAGATAGTTTGACAAGTAACATAGAGTAGGAAATTTCAAAGCAATTTGTTCTGAAAACTCACATCAAGATAGTGTGCAGGTTTTGGGGGCAGAATAGAGACCTTACAATGAAATGGCCTGATGCACTTACAGCCCTCACTCCTCTCTGGAGTATACCTCACATTTTGACTAATATCTACTACACAAGAGGATATTTGGTTGTCATAATTTTGGGGAAATCAGAACCTAACTCCGAAGTTTATTATTTTAGTAGAATCTTCTCATGCGTTAGACTTTCAATAAATAAAAGAACATGCTCTATTTACTAGGCATCTTTTAATTATATTTTTTTGGTCTACATTTCATACTGTACAAAGAGACACAGTTCTAACACACAGATACCTCCAGGAAAGCATCTCCAGCTGAGCCAAAGGGTTAAAGGAAACAACACTCATGACATTTCCTCCCTATTTGTAGCTAAGCATTACATCTATATTAAGCAAACTGACTTAATATATATACTTCTCCTGACTCCATTTCTTCCTCTTCACCATTTTTTATTCCAAACCATCATTTGAATATGTAAAACCCATCCTTTCTTCAAGGGCAGTAAAAGCACGCATCAGCTGGGCTTTAGGCCAAGGTCAGAGCTGTTCCTATGATTCAGTGGATTTGGCCATGGCATCTTTCATAGTCATGAAAGAAAGCATTTTTTTTAACATTTGTTTATTTACTTTGTGTATATGTGTGTGTGTGTGTGTGTGTGTGTATGCGTGCATGTACGAGAGAGAGAGAGAGAGAGAGAGAGAGAGAGAGAGAGAGAGAGAGAGAACACTACTGTTTTGAGAGTTGGTTCTCTGCTTCCACCATGTGGATTCGGGGGAATCAAACTCAGGCCATCAGGATTGGAGGCAAGCACCCTTTAAACATGATGAATCTTTGCATCTTGCTGGCCAGTATTTCATTCTTATTTTAGGCAGATTGTTACAAACAAGCATTGAAGAATTGACTACTGTTTCTCTGTGGTTGGTTTGCTATCACAGAGGCTTGAGGCTTGTAACACTAGACAAAAGGGCAAAGGTTGAAGGAAAATTACTCCTCACTTTAGGAGCTTATCAAGTGCAAGTCTATAGGCAGACTTGGGTTAATGTGACTTTGGCACTTTTGGATCCAAGAACCCAACAAGCTTTTCATGGCTGTCTGACTACTGTCTGCTGGGATTCTATCTTATAAACTGTTGACAACAGTTAAAACAGTCTTGCCCTCCATAATTGATTCAGTCATACTAAAAAATCAAATGGAAACCATGAAATGGGTCATAGCACGAAGAGTTCAAAGAAACCACCTTCTCACCTGCACTAGATCTGCACGAGGCCATTAAGTAAAGTTTCAGTCAAGAGCCAGAATCAGTTAGTTATAATACAAGAAACATTTGTGTTAACACACGAACCGTAATAGCTAACTTGTCCTAACAAGTGAGGTTGTAACTCAAAGCAGAACTTCAGTGTCAAAGAAATGACCATGTCTTGACAGGGAGTAGAAGATTCAGCTAATTAACAAGAATTATTACCCACTAATTTAGATTGGCACCTCCTTAGGCAGGGATCCTGTATAATTCAATTTTAAAACTAAATTGTCAGTTCTTAATAAGCATTACAAAAAAAAATAAAACCAGAAACAAGAAGAGTAGGCAAACCACTCTAGTGAACAAAACAAAGTTCTATTAAAACCTAATCAATTAATATTTTCTCCTGTGGTAAACCTACTGGCAAGGTACCCATTTTCCTGTAAACACATCCTTATCTATGTTCCTATAAGCAGCCTTAATGAAAACCATTCACATACACACACACACTTGCACACACACTTCTGAAAACAGGTGAGACTAGATAAAGAGGAAGGAGGTCAGCAAGACTGTCAGAAGAACAAGAAAAGGTAATTGGGGTGAATATGATAAAAAAAATTTACTATACTCGTGTATAAAATGTTACGGTGAAACCCATTATTATATGATCGTGTATAATAGATGCTAAAAATAAACATAAAAAACTACTAACTTATGAGGCTAAGGATTTCCTGCGGCTCAGGGGTACAATCACTTGAATTTCATGTTCAAGGTCCTGGGTTCCATTCTTAGCACAATAAGAAATCTACTCAACCAGAAGTCCTGTTGAGGCAACAAGAGCAAAGAAATCAATTTTAGGACTACTGCATCTGGTGACTGGAGAGGCAACACTTCTCTTTAGTGACTGAAAAGTCCCAGAAACTCAGTATTTAACTTCCAGATAGGCTGTTTCATGTGGTACAGAAGGAGGAGGTGAATCTTAGCTTAGGAAATGATACAGAAGAACCCTAGGAGATCCACCAGAACCTGAGAGAAATGATGGTTTGCTTATCCTGCAGGTTCCTTTCAAAATCAGTAAATTCATGAGGGTTGAAAGAACAGGGAAAAGACTAAAAGAATCCAATGTTGGAAGCTAGATGACAAATAGATAAGTGTGAGCAGATTCAGCAAAAGTCAAGGTAGGAGAGCTGAGAATGAACCCCCTTTGCATTTGCAGAAACCCCAGAATGTTCAGGGAGTGCAGCTGGCGCCTCATCTCCTCTTTCTGCCTCACTCAGACTGGTGAAGAAGGTCACAGGGAAGGGTAGGTCCAGACTCTGAAAACTGAGGAAATATCGTGACTGAGGGCTGAGTTTCTTGTCCATGTTCCAGCAGGTGGCAGCCAGGTAGACTGCGAGGTGTCCCCTGGGCATCAGAGACTTCATACCTAAAGGAAATGGCCCTGTCAAGTCACCTCATAGTGACATAGACAACTATAGGTAAGTTTTAACTATGTCTTCAAAGCTCTCAATTAGCTTTTTAGGCCCCAATTTTCAAACATAACCAGAAAACCAAGGATTATCAGACCAGAAAAGTGACACATATGAGAAAGGCTGAACAACAACAAAACAAAGCAAACTGAGGACATAGAATAAGTAGAAGAAAATTAAAAACAAAACAAAACCAAACTTTCATATATCCTACCATCCATATTCTGAGAGATATAGAAAAGATAACAAAAATATAAACTACTATACTTAGAAAAGGATAACTTGAAGGCTGGAGAGATTGCTCAGCAGTTAAGAGCACTGTCTGCTCTTTCAGATGATCCCTGTTTAATTCCCAGCACCCACATGATAGCTCACAACTGTCTCTAACTCCAATTCCAGGAGATCCGACACCCTCACACAGAAAAATGTGCACCTAAGACAAAAATAAATGAAGATTTTCTTTAAAAGAAAGTATAGCTTGAAACACAAGGGATTTTATAACTTGAGTAAGAAAACCAGGAACTCAAAATTGAAGATTTTGAAGACAAAAGTTGAAGAGATTTCCCAGAAAATAGTACAAAAAGATATAGATGTGAAAAGACAAAAGGAGATAAGAAAATTCAAGAGTGCATGGGAGCCAGTATAATTGATTGCCATAAAGACTACACTTAAGAAATGGAGCATGGC